AGATTGTCTGCAAGGTCTCAATTGACTACATATAACCTGAAGTTCTATGCAAACAGTTTCATATGTGGAATTCTTTTCCATCTTCTTGCTTTCCAGTTAACTTTATTCATCAAAAAAATATATGCAATGTCAATCTTCATCCTCTGTCCACAGAAATTCTCTTCTTTTATTGTTCTCACTCTTTAAAAGTGTTTTTCTTATATTCAGTCAAAATGGCTAGATGCAACTGTAAGTTCTATGCTAGCAGTTTCTTCTGTTACACTTCTTGATGGTGGAAATCTTTTCTGGCTTCTTGCTTTTCAGTCAACTTCAATCTTCAAAAATGTAAATGCAATGTCGATCTTTATCCTCTGAAATTCTCTTCTTTTATTGTTCTTGCTCCTTAATAGTGTTTACGTATATTCAGTCGAAATGGCTAGATGCAACCGTCAGTTTTACTACAATTATTTCCCCCTTACTCGCAAACATCAGGTTATTGGTAGATGTGTCAATACTTCATAAAAACACCCAACTCTGTGTTTAAAAAAAAAAAAAAAAAAAAGAAAAAGAAAAAAAGAAAGTGTTTTTGGGATATTTTAAACTAAAAGTAATTTTTTTTTTTTTATGAGATTAATTAAACTTTAAATCTGTTAATCTTTGTTAAATAAAGTTTCAGGAAAATATATTTTATCCTTGAAAGATTTTTAGTAAAAAGAATTATGCCGTGTTGTATCTATCAATCTATCTCGGTCTATTTCGCATCTATCAATCTATCTATCACGGTCTATTCATATCTATCAATCTATCTATCTCGGTCTATTCATTTCTATCAATCTATCTATCTCTCTCGGTCTATTCATATCTATCAATCTATCTATCTCCCGGTCTATTCATATCTATCAACTATCTATATCTCTCTCGGTCTATTCATATCTATCAATCTATCTATCTCTCTCGGTCTATTCATATCTATCAATCTATCTATCTCTCTCGGTCTATTCATATCTATCAATCTATCTATCTCTCTCGGTCTATTCATATCTATCAATCTATCTATCTCTCTCGGTCTATTCATATCTATCAATCTATCTATCTAGATAGATAGATAGAGAGAGAGATCCATCTTACTCTTAATACACGTCTTTCCTTATGTTAAAATTGATGGTTCTGAATGCAATCTGGGTTGCAGATAACAGCATCTGATGGAGTATGGTTGATTTCATGTTGAAAATATCAAGCAGGAAAAAATATCCATTCATGGACAGAAAGAAAGATTGAACGCAAAAAGGAGAAATGAAGTAAAAACGGAACAGAGGTGAGCACAATGTTGCCAAGAGACAATGAGTGGGTGGGAGGTGAAAGTAATGGGAGGAGGAGGAAGAGGAGGCTTTCCTTTTCTAGCCTTCCAATGTGATCCAAGTTAAAAGCGTGTGTTCACACCCTGCAGGTGATAGATGTGTGTTCATGATATGGAATAACAAGTGGGTGGGGTGTGCGGTTGGGGGCAAACAATGAATGATTAAAGAGGCAAACAATGAGAGGGGGAGAAGGAGAGATTTGTTTGAATTTGGAGTAGGAATTGGTAAGGGGAGATATATAGAATCTCTCTCTTTCTCACATATGTATATATGAGAGAAAGAGAGAGTTGAAAGAGATGGAAAAAAGAAAGAAACATGTGAAAAATGCAGGGGGATAGAGAGAGAGAGGAGGAGGAGCGAATAGAGAGAGAGAGAGAGAGGAAGAAGTGGGGAACAGAGAGAGAAGGTGAGGGGGAACAGAGAGAGAGGTGGGGGGGGGAGAGAGAGAGAGAGAGGTGAGGGGGAACAGAGAGAGGTGAGGGGGAACAGAGAGAGGTGAGGGGGAACAGAGAGAGTGAGGGGGAACAGAGAGAGGTGAGGGGAAAAGAGAGAGAGAAGAGAGGGGAAAAAGAGAGAGAAGAGAGGGGGAAAAGAGAGAGAGAAGAGAGGGGGAACAGAGAGAGAGAAGAGAGGGGGAAAAGAGAGAGAGAAGTGAGCGGGAACAGAGAGAGAGAAGTGAGCGGGAACAGAGAGAGAGAAGTGAGCGGGAACAGAGAGAGAGAAGTGAGCGGGAACAGAGAGAGAGAAGTGAGCGGGAACAGAGAGAGAGAAGTGATGAAACAGAGAGAGAGAAGGAGCAAAAAACAGAGAGAGAGAAGTGAGCGGGAACAGAGAGAGAGAGAGAGAAGTGAGGGAACAGAGAGAGAGAGAAGGAGGGGAAAAGAGAGAGAGAGAGAAGTGAGGGGAAAGAGAGAGAGAGAGAGAAGTGAGGGGGAACAGAGAGAGAGAGAGAGAAGTGAGGGGGAACAGAGAGAGAGAGAGAGAAGGAGGGGGAAAGAGAGAGAGAGAGAGAAGTGAGGAGAGAGAGAGAGAGA